TATGTATCTTTACATCATGTGCTGTAGCTGACCCACAAATACAACATTGTTGCTTCTTTAGCTCATTGTCCCTATTGTATTTCATTGAGGGATTTATGCATGTATACCATTTGACAGTAGTGTCCATTGGTTTGTGCAAATGCCCTGGCTCGCCTGGTGGTTTCATTTGAGGTGATTAAGGGTGGGGTAGACTGTTTGCATGACCAGTTCCTTCTCACTGCTTCATGGTTTGAGTTAGAACTTTCATTGTCTTCCTTTCTGATGCACCTTCAAATATGCTGTTGTAAATAATACATAGAATTTTAGAGTTTTATAGTACTTCATTGTTGTTTTATCATAGTCCTTGAAGTTTTAGTGATTAAGGATAAATAGAGGGGTTTGTTTCTCCCTCCCCCTGCCCATACCATGCATGGGTACTAGACTATGTCAGTGACCCTGGACTTGAAACTTTGTGCCAACTGCCCATGTTTCTTGGCCAGTAATGAACGCTTAGTGCTGTCTCTGTTGCTTGGGAGAAGACCACATTTAATCCAGGTATAGTATCTGCCAGTCTTTCCCCAGCCATATCAGAGAAGGCCATGATCGCTGCTTCTGAAAGTACTTTAAGAAAGTCTCCTTGAGGTCTCACTTGGACTGAGGCTAGGGGGTCTACTCTCTGTACATCAGCTTGAAACAAAGAGGAGAGCACTCCTGCTACCAAGACCAAATCCATCATGAGTGGTACCAGCACTTGGACTCAGCGTTGAGGCCTTGTTGGAAGGTAAGAAAGCCTATCTGCAAGCATGGGAAGAAAGTTTCTCCAGAGCAAAAATAGTGTGGTGTTCTTCCACAGATTTGAGCCATGGATACACAGTGCACACTAAAGCACGTAGACACAGCAAGAAGTCCCACAAGCAAGCGGATCTGGTGATCCCAAGTATTAGGACACTGTACCACCAGTGCTGGCTTCCCATTACGCGTGGACTTTGCCTGCTCTGCAGAAGTCTGCAGTACCGTCACTAGTTCTGAATAAAGAGAAGGTTCTCCAAACACCAGGGAGATTGGGAAAGATGCTTGAGCCCCAGGATGTGTGTGACGTAGTGGGGGTACCTGGCTGGTTTCTATGCTGCTGGCTCTGGGGTAACCCCCACTGGCTGCCGTGGGTACCACGACCCAGCAAAACAGGATGAGTCACTATGCAAACCAGTATGGCCAGACACCCCCCATGGAGAGGAACAAAGGAAGGTGGAATGCTGCCCTGGCTGGGGGGCAGGGCTGGAAGAGAGTTAGTTAGTGGCTGGCTGTCTGGGAGCATGGAGGAGACAGCCTAGGGAAAGGGGCTGGAGTTTAGGGGCCCAGTCTCCCCCATCTCAAGGGGGCCTGAGGCATCCTAGCCCAGCTCTGTGACCAGATTCCATCTGTGCTGTGCTGTATCCTGGAGAGGCAATAAACTTCCTCTATTCCACCGGCTGGTGCAGTCTGTTTGTGCCATTTCGGGGTGCAGGAAACGGGGGACCCCCAACGTGCCGACACAATGTGGAAGCAGGATTACTGCATTTGTTGGGACTCATTACCTGTAGGGAGGCTATTTTTTTTCCTCGTGATATGACACTATTACGAGTCCCCCTCATGTACTGCGTGGATGGTCTGTACACTCTCCCCAACTTGACGGTACTGCTGATGGTCTGGCCTTCTCATCCTCTGATGTGTCGGACGCTGAAGGGAGGCCTTCGGCGTTGTACCAACCATACGTGCGCTTACAGAGGGGGTCCAGATCTTGGCAGTAGTCTCCTCTGCAACCACCATGGACCACCTGGTTTCCTATGCCCGGATACAAATTGCTGGCATTATTGGGGGTCACAGTAATTTGAATCCTTTGCTGGAGGAGGAACCCTTCAGCCCAGCGCTGATGGTGCTACTGGAACTGTCGGGATTCCCATCCCCTGATGAGGCAGTGGCAACTGTGTCCACTTTGCCTCCTAACAGCTTTAGGAAATTTCAGGAACTACAGATTCTGCATCTTGACAAGGGGATAGTCTAGGTGGCCCATACAGTCCCTTCTAACTCTGTGGTTTGACTGCATAGAATCGCGGGGAAACTCCACATTCCTGTTGAGGAAATCCGGGATATCCAGCATAAATTCCTGGCTATCCTCCACTCATCAGTATCATTAAGAAACAGAAACTGGTGGCCAGAATAATGCTCCAATTGGTGATAGATGCACCAGATATCTCTTTCAGGACTATGGTTTTGGTTATAGTAAGGCATAGGGAAGTATGGCTCTGCTCTTCCAGTTTCCATTGGGATGTGCTCTATTGAATATCTCTGCTGTGACGAACCCCATCTTTTTAATCACTAGGTGGATGATTCCCTACATATCCTCAAGGACTCCAGCGCCACCCTTCGCTCTCTGGTTGCTTACACACCTGCCCTGAAGTATAAGTTCTTTGAGTGATTGCTCGTGTCCATTCTACATTAGGGCTACGTCTACACTGGCACCCTTTTCCGGAAATGCTTAAAACGGAACAGTTTTCCGTTATAAGTATTTCCGGAAAAAGCGCGTCTACGTTGGCAGGATGCTTTTCCGGAAAAGCACTTTTTCCGGAAAAGCGTCCGTGGCCGATGCAG